GGGGTGCGCGGCGCCGCCGGGGCCGGACGCGTGCGGGGCGGCGGGGAAGGCGGCGGCGGCGGCCGCGCAGCCGGGCAGCTGGTGCAGCAGGTGGAAGTTGAGCACGCTGACCCGCTTGACGCTGACGCGCACGCGGCGCACGATGCCCAGGTAGCAGTGCAGCAGCAGCGCCGTCTGCGCCAGCAGCGCGCCCGCAGCCAGCAGCGCGGGGTAGTGCAGCTGCGGGGGCGCGGCGCCCGGGCGCGGGGCCCAGGGTGGCAGCAGCAGCACCAGGCCCAGCGCGATCGCCCAGGACAGCGCCAGCATGCCCACCGTGTGGCGCCGCTGGTACAGCACCTGGTAGGTGGCGGGCGCCCTGGTGATGAGCAGGTAGCGGTTCAGGGCCACCAGGCAGTGGGACAGCAGGGACACGGTGAGGCCCAGGCCCAGCAGCCCGCCCCGCAGCAGGCGGTAGCTGCCCCCCGCGGCGTCCCAGTCCCCCGGGGGCTCGGTGGAACCGGCGGGCAGGAGCCCCAGCACCGCCTCCTGCGGCATCCAGAGCGCGCAGACGCTGAGGTCGGCGGCGCAGCCGTTGACGATGAAGGCGTTGCTGGTGGTCTGCAGCTTGCGGAAGGACGACACGAGATAGATGACCATGCCGTTGGCCAGCGTGCCCCCGATGGCCAGGCCCGAGTAGAGGAGGGACACGGGGATGCGGCGGCCCGCCCACGCCTCCTCGTCCTCGCACAGCAGCAGCAGCGATCCCCCGGTGGTGGAGGACGTGGACGTGGACGAGGAGTTGGTCATCCTGGCCACCTCTTCACACCTCGCGCCCTAGCGACGGCTTCGGCTTCGTGCAGCGCGGCCCATCCTGACACTCGCCTGCCTGCCGGGAGGGCAGAGACATCCTTTCAGCCCTCTGCCACCGACACAAAAGGCTGAAGCCGAATAATGGGGTGGGGGAGGAGGGGGGAGAGAGAGAGCTGGAGGAGAACGGGGGTGGCAGATGACAGGTGCCTGCCTCGGAATTGTCTCCAGCGCCAGGAGAAAGGCCACTGTGCACTCAGCAGGCTTCAGGGAAGCCCTAGGACAGAGCCATACCACGAACAGCCTTCTCTTCTCACCCCACACACACACACACACACACACACACACACACACACACACACACGGCCACCACCGCTGGGGACGTTGTCAGGTGAAGCTGCCAGTTACCAGGAGAAAGCGGAGATATCCTGGCTGGGGAAAATGCCACAGGAAGGGGTGGAGGGCATCTTGCTTTGGGGCTGGTCCCCAGCTGGCGATAGCACAGGGAAGGATGCCAGGACGTACCTTCTCAGTAGCAGCATCTGTGGTCCAGAAATCAACAGGAGAAACTCAGCTGGGATCAGTGCCAGGGACAACTGCCCGGTTTCTCCCAAGCAGCATCCTCACACATGGTCCCAGACAGGAACCAGCAGCTGCAGGGCCCTTCTCGGCGGCCAGAGGAGCTGGAGAAAGTTAAGTGGCAGCGGGCTGCAAGCCCAGGCCGGTGAGCAGGCAGCAGAAGCAGCGACGATGGCTGGCTGCAAAAGCAGACGCTGAGCTCAAGGGGAGAGCACCCTGCGCGCTCCAGAGCAAGAGTGGTGGCTGATTGTGGCGAACCCACTCGACGCACTCTCCGCTCAGTTATACATCACCCAGGGAAAGACAGCCTTTCCATGCCTGGCATGAATTATTCAATAGCTTCTAACTTGTAAGGGGAAGAAAAATATCTGGCTCACAGAGTCCTGTAGTTAACAAGTTTCTCTTTCTCTCACTCGCCTTATTTTTCACTCTGCCTCATTTTCTCTCCGTCCTTTCTCCCCTCCCTTCAATGTTAGGATAAAATTTAATGTCTCTCCATTTCTTTCATCTCAGTCTGATACATCCTGGAAGCAAGATTCTTCTCAGAGAGAACTACACGCCCCATACCCAGGACTGATCACTTCATCCCCACAGTTTTTGGGAGAATCACTTTCTATTTCAATTGAAATACATTTTTTCTTTGCTAAAAGTGGGACATGTGTAATTATCTGCAGCAAATCTGCCAAGTCTTCATTTAAATCATAATTTCAGGGTATTTTTTCCATCATTAGACTCCCTTCTAGAGTTTGGCTTGTGTTACAGCAGTGAAAGAATTGGGAGGTTAAAAAAGAAAAAAAGTCAGAGACATAAAGCTGGTATCAGTGTACCTCTAAACAATGGACTATTACTCAGCAATCAAAAGAAATGGGCTAACAAGCCATGAAAAGACATGGAGGAACCTTAAGCGAGTATTGCAAAGTGAAAGAAGCCAATCTGACGAAGTCCACACACTGTGTGCTTCCAACTGTACAACATTCTGGGAAAGACAAGACTAGAGGCAGTAGAAGGAGCAAGGGTTGCCGGGGATGGATGGCAGGGAGGAACAGTCAGAGCACAGAGGAGTTTTAAGATAGGGAAACTACTCTGTATGGTACTATAATGGTGAGCGTATGTCATTATAAATTTGTCCAGACCAGTAGAATATATAACACCTAGCCTGAACCCTAATGTAAGGTAGAGGCTCTGAGTGAATATGTGTCCGGGTACTTTATCCATGGTGAGAAATGAACCATTCTGCTGGCGGATACTGACAGCCAGGAAGGCTAAAACCTGTATGTTGAGGGGGCTGTATGGGAAATCTCTGTACCTTTTGCTCAGATTTGCTGTAAATCTAAAATGTAAAGTCTGTTTTTAAAACATAGGTGTTGGGGAAAAACAATGTACCTGAATCCATAGTGTGACTGTTAAATATGGCTTTTCACTTCAGAACTCACCCCCGCTTTTTTCTTATCATTGTTGTACATTGTGACAGTTACAAAAGTTCTTAAAATATATCATAGTTGAATTCACCCCCTCCACTATTCTCCTTTATCCCTCCTTCTATTTCTGGAATAATTTCAACAGGTCTCATTTTTTCATTTGCACACGTAAGTACATAAATACTTCTACCATATTTATTATATGGTATGTCTTGGAGATTTACAGGCTGATGTTCAAATCTGCTTTGGTACAAGTGCTAATTCACCCAATTCCTCACAGGAAGTTTTTTTGCGACAGGTATCCCCCCAAATAAACAATTTGTCACTGGCAAAGTCATGTGTTTGCAAATTTAATTCAATAGGAAATACGTCAATGTAACACAATAGAAAATGCTAGATGGGGTTTGGGGACACCCAAGTTCTAAGCGGGACATCCAGTAATGGACCTTGTGATAGGCTGTTCATCTTTTCAGGTAAGAGGTGTCCACTCAATGAATTCAAAGCCCTTTCTGCTCAAACTGTCTTGGGATCCCTATTCCTCCCTCATTCTGCCACCTGACATAGACCTCCTGGGTCATGCGACAGTTCTTTCCAATCTGTCCCTAAGACCAGCATTTCAAGATGTAAGTCAGAACTCTTTTCTCTCTTTCACAACCAATAAAACCAGTCATTTTCATTCATGACTTCAGAACAGTGGTGGGTAGCACGAAGTGTGAGTTGGTAGATTTAGGTCAGGCTCTATCTCAGTGGACATGGTTGGGGGTTGGTGACAGAAAAGCAATGACAGGTTTTCAGTGGGTTGAAGATTCAGATGTCACTTATTAATATTACAGAGCAGTTGTCATTATCTTTTGACTGTTGTCTGTATTTACAACTTTGAATGTATCAAATGTAGCAGGCCTATAGGAGATTCCTCTAATCATTCATAGTTAAAACTTTTGTCATCAAAATAAAAGTTCTTCTTTCACATTAATTTAGTCATAGAGGACTTCCGAAATTGCATCCCAGGTCCTGGGTTCTGGAGACCACTTTGTGTGCCATCTGTGAGAACAAACAAGCCCATCTAAGAGACTCCACACCTCCTCTGCCCAAACCCTGCTTCCTCTAGCCCTGGACTGACTGGGATCAAACTTCTGTCTGCTTTTTAATTTGGTTTCATTTTTGTTTTAAGCTACTGAACTTGTAGAATAAAGGATAGGGATTTATTTTCTTTTATTCCCAATGTCACAACAGTGCCTAGCACTCGGTAGAGATACTTCATACTTACTGGGTTCATGCATGGGTGACATTATAAGTGATTTCATTTATTCTTTCTATGGTGAAGCACCAGGTGGTTTTTACGAGGGTTACTCTGCCTTTGCCACCAGCAGGACCTCACTCCTTGCTCCTTCCGTCATCCCCTTCCTCATGTGTTCTTAATCTCTCTGCTTGCCACCCTTGCTCCCCTGTGACCTTCCAAAATGTTGATTTCACCACCACCTAAAAAAAATCTCCCCCGAACCTCACCTCCTTCTCAAGGTGGTGACACACAGCTCCCTTCCCTTTGGCGGAAGTGCTCGGTTTCTGCTCCTATGCCCTGGTCTCCTGTTCCATGCCCACCTCTGCTGCCTTTGGTTCTTTCCACAGCACAGCTGTGACCAAGGTCAGCAGCAACCTTCAACTGTGAACCCATGACACCTAAATCCTTCTCTCTCCAACTCTGTTGTAGCCCATTTCCCCTCACCACCCCACCCCCAGCCCCAGGCTTCTCTTTGTCCCCTCCATCCGCTCCTTTCCTCACTCCCTCTCTGCACCCTCACTCACCCACTGTCATGGGTGCCTTAATTTGCTACTCCTGCTGCTCTATTCTTGGATTCATCTGACTCTCTTCTCTCCCTAATTAGTCTCCACCTGTTCCAGACCTTCCACTCTTGCTGGAATTCTCCCACAATTCTTTCCTACCGCTGTCCTTCCACCCAGAGCTAGCCTGTCCCCTCCTACCCTGCTCTTTGTCACTGCTTCAGTTGATTCTTCCTTCCATGGTTCCAACAATTCACCACCAATAGGGTGCTTGTTGTAATTTTCTGATCTGCTGCCTGGGAGTTAGGATGACTTCTACCTAATCCTAATAAGAGTTTTTATGTGAAAAATGATTTTTCCTTTAACTGTCAGTATAATGGTTTATATTTGGTGTATTTTAAAAAGGTGAGTCATCTATTTATTTCTGTGATAAGCCCTATTTGGTTATGGTAAGTTATCCTTTTTAATAGACAGTAGGATTCTATTTACTAGTATTTTAGCAAAGAGTTTTGTGTTGGACACCAGAGCTCAAGCGTGTAATCCTAGATATGTGGGAGGCTGACTTTGGGAGGATTGCATTTGAGTCCAGCCCAGGCAAAAGGTTCATGAGATTCCCATCTCAATGGAAAAAACTGGGTCTGGGTGTGGTGGCATACACCTGTCATCCCGGCTATGGTGAGAAGCCTAAAATAGGAGGATTGCAGTGCAGACTGGCCTGGACAAAGAGCAAGACCTCCAAAATAACCAGAACAAAAAGGACTGGGGGAGTGGCTCAAGTACTAGAGCACCTGCCTAAGAAATGTGAAGCTCTGAGTTCAAATCCCAATACCACCAAAAAAACCCACCATTTTTCCATCACAAGTGAAACCTAGTTAACTTAATTTTTATGCTGTCTTGTCTTTTCTTGGTATTAGAGTTATGATAAAATCATAAGATTAGAGGTTTTTTTCTTTTTCTGTAGGTTCTGTGGAACTTATATATAAATTATTAGGCTCTTTTAGAGATCTTCAACTATCATTTTAATTTCTCTTAAGGTTATTGGTAGATTTGGGTTTCAACTTTCTTTTAGGACTTTTTTTTTTTTTGCAGTACTGAGGTTTGAACTCAGAGCCTTGCACTTGCTAAGCAAGTGCTCTACAACCTGAGCCACACATCCAGCTCTTTTTTGCTTTGGTTATTTTCAGATAGAGCCTCATACTTTTTGTCAGGACGGGACTCACACCAAGAGCCTTCTGAGTAGATGGGATTTGCACGTGTGTGCACTATAACCAGCTTGTTCTTTAAGATAGGGTCTTGCTAACTTTTTGCCCTTGCTAGCCTCCAACCATGATCCTCATATTTCCCCCTTCCAAGTAACTGGGATTACAGTCACAACACCCGGCCTCTAAGGAAATTTTTATCATTATTGTATTGTATGTATTTGAACTGCAAACTTCTTATGTGTTGTAAAAGGAAGTAAGGTATAAGTAAACTGCATATCCACCTATTCATCTATCTATTTACCCAAGATTATAAATGCATATGCTCACACAAACATTTATTGCACTCCTATTATATGCTGGGAATTTAAAGAATAAAGATAAATAAGATTCATTCCTGACCTTCAGTGAGCTCAGTCTACAGGGGTAGGCAAATAAATAAGCAAAATCATCACAATGTGCTAAATACTATAACGAAGATGTAAGTAAATGCTGACTCTAAGCCACATAAGAAATATCTCAGGCTGGAGGTGTGGCTCAAGTGGTCACGTGCCTGCCTAGCAAGCATGAGTTCCTGAGTTCAAATCTCAGTACAAGAAAGAAAGGGGGGGGGGATAAGAAAAGAAAAAACTCTCACTGTGCCTGAAAGTCAGGAATTCCTGTCTGTAAAGATGACTGGTAATTGAGCTGAATTCTGAAGGTTGAGCCCTGGGAACTCACTAACATCACACTAGCCCTGAGGTTAAAGCCTACTCCAAACACAATACCTAAAGAGGCATTAAAGAGCACAGCGTCATTACCTTCTGAGGCC